AAGTAAAATAAATTCCTAACGTGGGATACAGTTGCATTAGAAATAAACGACAGCCACACTAGAGGGGGAAAGGCCTGCCCAGGTACCTTCTGAACAGAGAGCTTTTCTCTGTATTCTCGGGCTAACGGCAGACAGAGCCGTAAACACGTCCTAAGCTCTTTTCAGCAGGCTCCTGGCTCACGGTGGTTTGGGTGAGCAATTCTCATGCCACTTTCCATGTGCTCTAGAACGGACCAAATGAGTTAATATGGCAAGGATGATGGAGAGAGTTGAAAAGAGAGTTATAAATATAGACATGGGGCCAGGCGCAGTGGCTGATGCCTGTAGTCCCAGCACTTTGGGAGGCCAAGGCAGGCAGATCACCTGAGGTCAGGAGTTCGAGACCAGCCTGGCCAATATGGTGAAACCCCGTCTCAAATAAATATATGCATACATAATATAGGCATGTGGCAAGGAGAGAATGAAAATGAACCCTGTGGTGTTGGATTGGAATTGGAAGTATCCACGTCATCTCTGATTTTGGTAGACAGAATGGGGAGAGGGAGGGAGGAAAGGAGAATGGGAGGAAGGAGGGAAGAAAGGAGGGGAAGGAGGGGAAGGAGGGAGAGAGGGAGGGATAAAGGGGAGGAGAAGGGAAGAAGGAGTGAGAGAGGGAGGCAGTGGAGAGGAAGAAGAGGGAGGGAGGGGAGGAAGGGAAGTCCAGGCTCTGCCTGCTGAGAAGGTTTAGATACAATCGGATCCAGTAAAGTGAAAGCAAGCACACCTAACACTCAGAGCTTGGTTTCTCAACACCATTCTATATGAAAGGAAACCAGGACTGTTTGGTGAATTAGTCAAAGCCTGTGTGCAGAAAACATAAGAGGAACTTGGAATTTTTTCATGCCAAAGAGTAAAAATGTGCTCAAGGAATTAGGGACTGTGCCAGCAATTCTCTGAAGCCACTTCGAAGGCAGTCCCATTGCGTAGAAATGATTGTCATAGATTGTAACCCATGGAAGGAAACAGGAACTGCTGAGTCCTTGCTGACATAATTAAGTAACTAAACAGAGGACAAGGAACGCAGGTTCCGATGGGCTCAGCCGGTGCCCATGTGTCACACAGATCTCCTTCCTGCAGACCTGAGCGGCCATCCAGACTCATTTCCCTCTGCCCGAGGAACATCCTTGGCATTCATTTATTGTACTGAAGCTGTGCTAGAGATAAATTCCCTCCACTTCCATTTGTCTGACAGGGTCTTTATTTCACCCTCAGTTTCGAAAGCTATTTTCCTGAGATACGGAGTTCTGTTGATTTTTTTTCAGCAACGTAAAGATGCCCTGCCAACATCTCCTGGTTTCCACTCACCGTGAGAAGTCAGCCATTGTGTCCCCCTTTTGTGCCCTGTGTTAGTCCTTCTCACATTGCTAAAAAGAACTACCTGAGACTGGGTAATTTTAATCGGTTCATGGTTCTACAGGAAGCATGGCTGTGGAGGCCTCAGGAAACTTTCCATCACAGGTGAATGTGAGGGCAAGCAGGTATGTCTTGACATGGCCAGCAGGAGAGAGAATGAAGAGGGAAGTGCTGGACACTTTTCAACACCCCGATCTCCTGAGAACTCACTAGTATCGCAAGAGCAGCAAGAAGAAATCCGCCCCCGTGAGCCAGTCTCGCCTCCCTTCAAGGCCCATCTCCAATGCCGGGTAGTACAATAATGCCACATGAGATTTGGGTGGGGACACAGAGCCAAGCCAGATCATGCCCTGTCTTTTTTTTTTTTTTTTTTTTTTTTTTGAGACAGAGTCTCACTCCGTCACCAGGTGCCAGGCTGGAGTGCAGTGGCATGACCTCAGCTTACTGCAATCTCTGCCTCCTGGGTTCAAGCAATTCTCCTGCCTCAGCCTCCCGAGTAGCTGGGATTACAGGCACGTGCCACCATGCCCAGCTAATTTTTTTGTATTTTTGGTAGAGATGGGGTTTCACCATGTTGACCAGGATGGTCTCGATCTCTTGACCTCCTGATCTGCCCACCTCGGCCTCCCAAAGTGCTGGGATTACAGGCTTGAGCCACAGCGCCTGGCCTTTTTTTTTTTTTTTTAAAGAGAGATGAAGTCTCACTATGTTGCCCAGCCCGGTCTGGAACTCCTGACCTCAAGTGATGCTCCCACCTCAGCCTCCCAAAGTACTGGGGTTACAGGATTATAGGCATGAGCCACCAGGCCTGGCTGTGCTGTCTTTTAAATTTTTTTTTTTAGAGACGGGGTCTCACTATGTTGCCCGGGCTGGAGTGCAGTGACTATTCACAGGCGAGACCCCACTACTGATCAGCACGGGAGTTTTGACCTACTCCAATTCTGACCTGGGCAGGTTCACCTCTCCTTAGGCAACCTGGTGGTCCCCTGCTCCCAGGAGGTCACCATATTGACGCCGAACTTAGTGCGGACATGCGGTCGGCATAGCGCACTACAGCCCAGAACTCCTGGGCTCCAGCGATCCTCCAGCCTCAGCCTCCCGAGTAGCTGGGACTACAGGCACCGCCACTGCTCAGCTCCTTTTACATTTTTATCCACATCAGTGGTTGGCAGTGCATTGACTATCATGTCCCTGGGTGTGGTTACTGTGAGGCTCCTTCTGGGAGATACCATACAGCGGGTATCTTTACAATACTGAATGCTGCCGCCTGGGCCATGGATTCTTGTCCTGGTGTAACTGTCTTCCCTTAAACTATGCTCTGCGCTGTGTCTGCTCTAGGCATTCCTCTGATATGAACTAAGATATAATTATAGGTATATATGTAGGGAAATATTCTTCAGGCACTCGTAGTATCAACTATTAATGATTATGAATAGAGGATTATATAAAGGGGTTCTTCAAGCCCTAATTCTATAAACTAATATATGATTATGTAAAGGATTATATAACAGGAAATAGCTGAGTAGTAACACTATAAAGTGAGCTATTCCTCAAGCCCTGACTGTGCCAGGGCTCTGCTCAGCTCTCATTCCTCAGTGCCTGTATGGGGGTTACCCACAGTGCCTATATGGGGGGTTACCCACAGTGCCTATATGGGGGTTACCCACAAGAATGGCTGCTCTAGACCTTTATCTTCTGAATACAACTTTGGGTCTTCTCAGTGCCAGCTTTTAGTAACTTTTTTTTTTTAACTATAGGTCATATTCTTCTGTGTCTTTGGACATCAGTGACTTTTGTGCAGGACGCTGTTGACGATGGTGGCCCGCGTCTGCTGTCACCCTCTGAACAGCACTGACTTTTGTGCTAGGCTGAACCTGTCCTCCCAAAATCCCCACGTTGAAGCGCCAGCTCCCACCGTCAGTTTCAGGAGATGAGACCCTTAGGCAGCAATCAAGGTTAAGTGAGGTCAAAGGGGTGTGGCCCTCCTTTAACAGGGCTGGGGTCCTTGTAAGGAGAGGAAGAAGCATGGACAGCCCTCCCCACCAGGTGAGGACAGAGCCAGGGCTGCCTTCTGCAAGCAGGCAGGAGGACCCTCACCAGAAACTGTGTTCTCTGGCACCTTCATCATAAACTTCCGCCCTCCAGAACTGTGGGGAATCCATTTCTGTTGTTTGAGGCCCTGTCCAGGGTGATCTGAGCCGACCGCAACAGCAACAGCCCCTCCGGCAGGAAATCCCAGGACAGGCTAAGCCCCTTGACCTTGCAGTCTCTGCCAGGCTCGGCTGTGCAAAGTTACAGTTTCCCAGGAGCCTCTGACTTGCCAGAATTCAGCCTCTAAACGTCCCTCCTCTGGGTCTTATAGGGCATGGTTTGGGGTTCACGGCTGGCAAGGTCCCTCCGCTCAGGCTGTCGCCCCACCCTGCCCCTGCACCACTCAACCGCAGGCATCACTTTCCACGGCCCCATGAAGCAGCCACCCCCGTATGCCCTGGGTTGTCTCACCTGACCATACGGGAGACCGGCTGACCCCAGGGCCTGGACGCAGAGCCCGGGACTGCCACTTGCCGCTTCCTTGCCCTTCCCACTTCCCCGGCCAGGAGGGAAGAGAGCGATGCAGCTGGCTGGCAGGAGCCCAGGCCACGGGGTGAGAGCCCAGACCACAGGGTGAGAGCTCAGGCCACGGGGGTGAGAGCCCAGGCCACGGGGTGAGAGCCCAGGTCAGGGGGGTGAGAGCCCAGGCCATGGGGTGAGAGCCCAGGCCATGGGGGTGAGAGCCCAGGCCACGGGGGTGAGAGCCCAGACCACGGGGTGAGAGCCCAGGCCACGGGGGTGAGAGCCCAGGCCACGGGGTGAGAGCCCAGACCACGGGGGTGAGAGCTCAGGCAACGGGGGTGAGAGCCCAGGCCACGGGGTGAGAGCCCAGACCACGGGGTGAGAGCCCAGGCCACAGGGTGAGAGCCCACTGTGGAACCATACACGGATCAGGGCCGGGCAGCTGGGGTCCAGTGAGGCCAGAATCGTGGCCCATCAGGTAGGGCCTTGGGCCTGGGGCCATGAGCCTGAGCACTGGGCAGTGGGGAGCCATGGGAGGACCCAGGCAGAAGGGGTACAGCCTCCATGCGTTGGAGGGCACTGCTTCTGCTCCTCCCACCAGGAGCGCTGCTCTGTCTCTGCTGTACACCCGGGGGCATCCTGACCGGGGCCCTGACAGGCCGGGAGAGCGGGGCTGCTGCCTCGTGTGGGAGCCGCGCTGTTTGTCGAGTAGCCATGGGAAACACACCTCCTGATGCCGGTCCCCCCACACCTGTCACCCATCGGCCCTCCAGAAAGACACACAGAGCAGTGGCTTGACATCACAGTTTATTCAGAGCAGGCGCAGGTGACCCGGAGGGCAGGGTGCCCAGGAGAGGCCAGGTGGGCCGGGGCTCCAAGCCTCCTGGTCTGAGGCAGGAAGTCCACTAAATCAGCTCCTGTGACACAAACGTGCAGGGGCTCAGGCCCGCGTGGTCTCTGGGGGCCCCGCAAGGGAGTGATGAGGGCCACATGGCGGGGGCTGCCGTCCTAACTGCCTGGCTTTGGGCGAAGCACCCAGCTCCCCGAGTGCTTTCTCAATCAGCAAAATGGGGTAACAACCCCAAACTCTAGGACCGAGACAAAGCGAGGTCAGGGAGACAATGGGTTCTTGTGATGCCAGACACGGGAGCCTGAGGGGCACCCTCAGGCCTGCACCTGCCCCTGAGGGGACCCGCACCCCGCCCTCAATGGGACCTGCACCCACCCCCGATGGGACCTGCAGGAGTAGAAGCAGCCAGCAGTCCTCACGGAACACCGAAGAAAACGCGCCATTTCTGCCCCCCGTCCCACCCAGCTCTGTACCCCGTGACCCCAGCCTCCCGGGTCCCTGCCTGGCAGCCTGGGGTCACCACCCCGAAGGATCCAGCTCTTTCCAAGCCAGGAGACAGACCCATCTCTGGTGCTGGGTGTCCTGATCAGAGAAAGGGGTGAACGAGGCCCCACCCAGGGCCGGGAGGTGGAGCCACGGAATGGGTACTGGGCCAGGGTCCCGGGGACTTCAGCGCAGGCCGGGGTGGGGGCAGGCTCACCTCCTTCAGGAGCTTGGCACACCGCCCTGTGGGACAGGCCAGCGTGAGGAGCTGCAGAACCAACCCACAGGGCCCAGCCCATCGTGCACCCCAAGGCCCCTGGGCTCACCAGGCCGGGCCGCCAGGTACAGTCCCGTGTCTGCTGTCAGCTCCCGGAACCTCCAGAACCCCAGCCGCTCCTCGTCCTCCAGGCTCCGAGCTGTGGGGCACAGGGGGGCTGGGTGGGCAGTCCCCGGAGGGCGGCAGCTGGGCAGAGCCCCCGGGCCAAGCTTACTGAAGTACTTGAGGACGTGGAAGTTCCTGCCCCGCCACATCAGGGACACCCGCAGGATGGCATAGCCCTCGTAGTCCGTGTCCAGCACCTGGATCTCTCTGTGGCCTTCAGGAGCCAGCCATGGCGTTGGGGGAGGCCTCTGAGGGGGACGGACCTCGAAGGCCAGGGTCTGCAGGGTCTAACTCCAGCCTGCCCCCACCCAGCGCCTGCACGTGCGTGGCTGGGGACACTACAGCCACTCTTGAAGGATGACCCAGTGTGTGGGTGAGAGAATGGGAAGGTCTGGGGCATGAAATGTACAGGGAACAGCATGGGGAGTAGTGCAGAGAACAATGCAGGGAACAGCATGGGGAACAGCACAGAGAACAGCAATGCAGGGAACAGTGCAGGGAACAGCATGGGGAACAGCACAGAGAACAGCAATGCAGGGAACAGTGCAGGGAACAGCATGGGGAACAGTACAGAGAACAGTGCAAGGAACAGTGCAGGGAACAGCACAGGGAACAGTGCAGGCAACAACGCAGAGAACAATGCAGGGAACAGCTCAGGGAACAGTGCAGGGAAAAGTGCAGGGAACAGCGCAGGGAACAGTGCAGAAAACAGCACAGGGAACAGCGCAGGGAACAGTACAGAAAACAGCACAGGGAACAGCGCAGGGAACAGCATGGGGAACAGCACAGAGAACAGTGCAAGGAACAGTGTAGGGAACAGCACAGGGAACAACGCAGAGAACAATGCAGGGAACAGCTCAGGGAACAGTGCAGGGAACAGCACAGGGAACAGCACAGGGAACAGTGCAGGGAACAGCATGGAGAACAGCGCAGGGAACAGTGCAGGGAACAGCATGGGGAACAATAAGGCAAGGCCTGGCTGTGTGCACTGCCAGGCTCCACCTGCTGTGACAGGGCAACTGCACTTACCAGGAAAAGTGAATTTTCCTGTAGTGTCTATTTCTGAGCCCACGACCCTGTCTATCTCGCAGCTTCCTGAGCTGAAAGGCAGCAAAGTGCTCATCGGGAAAATGCCAGCCTGTGTCCCACCTGCTGGGCTCCTTCCCAGAGTGGGGCCATGTCTTTAGGAAGGGCACGGGCAGCAGGGCCTGGAGCAGGACAAGGCAGGGAGAGGGCCAGGCAGGGAGTGTGCCAGGTGGGGAATGTGCCAGGCAGGGGCTGAACCGACCTCCCCCTGGGGCCTCTGCTTCCTCCAGCCAGCCACCTGCCCCATGCCCCTTTTCTTTCCTTATAAGTTCATGGGGCTTTATTAAAACACTATGCTTATATTTGGGAGACAATCAGATTCAGGAGCTGATCAAGGGCCCAGACAGATGGGCACAGGGAGGGCTGGCCCACCAGCGGGACGGCACTCAGCCCAGACCCCATGCTGCGCCCAGTCCCCGGCCACGCTAGCCTCTTCCTCTCTGGCAGCCCCCAGGCCTCTTACATATTGTACGCAACCTTCACGGTCAGGTTACTCCTGTTCATGGTGAGGAACAGGCCCTCCACCCGATTCCGGGGGGTCAGCACCAGGCTTTGATCGGAGGCCACACCGACTTCCCGCCAGAATCCTCCAAGCTAGAGAGAAGCGGAGCTCCACCAGGCGCTGAGTAGCTGGACTGAGACCCCCGGGGGCGTTCCACAAATCCCCAAGCAGGGGCCTGGTGGGCTCTAAGAGGTCAGCAGATGGCAGCGAGGCTCGGTGGCAAAGCAGCAAGACATCTGTGAGCCCACTGTCCCCAGGTGCGTGTCCTTCCAAGCAGTCCCCTCAGGCCATCGCACAGCAATGCCCCACAGGGCGGCCCTTCCCCACTGGGCCACCTAGAGCTGTGGAGCAGGCCCTGGGGCTTCCAGGCCATGTGGGGAGGAACCGCAGGCTGTGCCTGACCTGGGGAGGCAGGACCCAGGGGCAGGGGCACTCGAAGGCTGGAAGAGAAGTCCCGGAGAGCGCAGCGTAGTGAGAAACGCCAGGGAATGGGTGACCAGGGCAGCTCAGCTCACCAGACACCAACCATGCCAGGGGACAGCTCCCAGCCACCGACCACACCAGGGGACAGCTCACCAACCACCAACCACACCAGGGGACAGCTCACCAACCACCGACCACGCCAGGAGACAGCTCCCAGCCACCAATCATGCCTTGGGACAGCTCACCAGCCACTGACTGTGCCAGGGGACAGCTCACCAACCACCGACCATGCCAGGGGACAGCTCACCAGCCACCGACCACACCTTACAGCTCACCAGCCACTGACCATGCCTTGGGACAGTTCACCAGCCACCGACCATGCCAGGGGACAGTTCCCAGCCACCGACCACACCGGGGGACAGTTCCCAGCCACCAACCATGCCAGGGGAGGGGTTTCCTGCCCTCAGCCAGCTGCCCAGATCCAGGACTTCTGCTAAGACTTTTTAAAACGCGGTCATTTTTGGGAGAAAAGAATCTTTTTCTTGAGCATCTACCTTCCCTGGGCCTGCCAATGCGCGCCTGGCCCAGCAGCCGGCACAGCCTCGGGGTGAAGAAACGGCTGCTAACAGGAAGTGTCTGGCTGGCACCAGCGTCCCCACTGAGCCCCCACACCAGGAGAGGTCTCCTCCCCGAGCCTGCAGGGTTGGGGGCTGGGAGGAGACCCTCCAACAAAGAAGAAGCAGCCACCTTCTGCCGGTCCAGGTCCACCATGGCCGCTGCCATCTGTGCCCAGAGCACCACGAGGGCACCCAGGTGGATGCATGGCAGCCTGGCCTCCATGGCGGCTCCTCTGCGCTCCCGTGTGCCACAGCCTAGGTGATTATATATGGACGGAGGCAGGCTGTGCGCTCACCCGGGACGGTCATCAGGACAGCTTGGCTGCCGGCTGCTCAGAGACGGGTGTCTGCGCATCCGGCCCTGGGGACACCCACGCCCACCAGAGGGGTTAGCCTGGCCTAGACGGCAGTCTGCCCGGCCACCCTCCTGGTGCGTGGATGATGGTGGACGCTGCCGGGGCCGTCTGGGGGCCTGAGAGGAGGAGCTCCACCCACGCCACCTGCGGCTCAGTGACCCCCGCTCCACATGATACATGTGTTTGGGGCTGGTTTTGGCCAGCTGGGAACAACATCACAAAGACTGTCAGGGTCAAGGGGGGCAGGCGGGGCCATGTCCTGACCGTGGCCAGCAGCATCGAGCACGCAGCGGTATTTGACCCCCGGCCTGTGCGCTTCGGTGTCTGGCCCCGCTCCATGCCTGAGACCACGTCCACCACCAGCAGTATATTTTGTGAGGTACCAGGACCAGCTTGTGTCCACTGCCCGGGGGGCAGCGTTGAGCATGGCCCTGGAGCCTGCCCACCCGGCTGGCAGCACCACATGGACACGCTGGGGGTCCTGGCCACTGTGACCCTGGCGTCTGTCCCCTCTTCCTCATTATAGACACAGCGGGGGAGGGGCGGGAGCGTCAGGGGCCGACCCTGGCTCCCTCCCTCCTGCAGTGTGGCACAGGGCACGCCGCTTTACCTCAGTCTCCCCATCTGTCATGACCGAAACAGCAGAACATGAAGCCAGGCAGAGGCCCTGGATGACCTCCCTCTGGAGTCCCCCGAGCCCCCGGGAGGGCCCCGCCCGGCTCTCTGGCCCCCTCCGACCCCGTGAAGCATCTCTCGGGCACAGGGATGATTTTTTTCTAAGGCAGACAAGTTTTACTTTCAAAAACATCTTTATTTGTGACACGTATTTTTTAAAACTGAAGGCAACTCCCATTGCCTGAAAATGAGCCGAACAAGCACAGTACCTTCCACCCTGCCATCCCACTTCCTCCCACTCCCTTCCAGGACAGGGGAACAGGAGCCCACGGGAAGCCGGAAGGCTTCTCCCACCAGGGCCAGGGCCTGACAGGCTCCAGTGTGGCTGCCGCCCAGGCCACTGTCACCCTGGGGTCCAGCGCTTCAGCTCCCACAGCTCCCACAGCTCCCAGCAGAGGCACAGGTCCCATGGGCCAGGAGAGGTCCGAGGGTCCCCAGAGCCCTCCTCCCAGCCTTGTGCCCTGGTGCTGGGGTGGGGGTGGCCTTCCCGCCCTGGGAGCCAGAAACATCCATCTGGAATGGCTCAAGCTTTGGTTAGCTATCAGGAGGGAAGTCCTGGTCACCAAAGCCCATTCAGCAGGTGGACCCTGGCCACCCTGGACCCTGGATGGTGGGGAACACTGGGGAGACAGAGGACCCGGCTGCCCCCAGCCCCAGGCTGAGGAGTCAGGACCCCCCAGCGTGGCTCCAGAGATGGACTTGGCAGGAGAGGAAGGGTGGGTAGCAGGGCACCTGCTGTCTCTGGGCGACCGAGGGCAGGATGAGGGCAGAAGCTCCTCAAGGCTGAACCTTTCTGGCTCCTGCCCTTTGAGGGCCTCGGGCACTGACAGGCAACAGAACCTCCAGTTCCTTCCTGTGCCACCCCACGCCCGGCCCTTTGAAATGTGTGCCAGACACAGTGGGCAGTCAGAGTTCCAGAGGCCCCAGGCACACCGCCAGTGACCAGGGTGACAGTGGGGAGGGCCAGCCCAGGCCCTTGCTGGCTGTGCAGCCTTGGATAAGTCACCCAACTGTTCTGTGCCACGGTTTCTTGATTTTTTTTTTTTTTTTTTTTTTTTTTTGAGACAGAGTCTTGCTCTGTCCCCTAAGCTGGAGTGCAATGGCACAACCTTGGCTCACCGCAAACTCCGCCTCCGGGTTCAAGCAGTTCTCCTGCCTCAGCCTCTTGAGTAGCTAGAATTACAGGCGCCTGCTACCACACCTGGCTAATTTTTGTATTTTTAGTAGAGACAAGCTTTCACCATGTTGGCCAGGCTGGTCTCGGACTCCTGACCTCAGGTGACCCACCCGCCTCGGCCCCCCAGTGCTGGGATTACAGGCGTGAGCCACCATGTCCGGCCAGTTTCTTCATCTTTGGAGCAAGGAGCACGCGGGGCGGCTACGTGTGTCCATGGGGTCTGCTGTGAAGCACCCAGGCCGGCCGGCAGTGCCCTGGCCACAACCATGACCCATTTCCAGGGGTGTGAACCAGGTGCCCGAGATCACATCAGTGGTGGGGGCAAAACCCAAACGGGCCTAACTTCCCAGCCTCCCACATCTCCCCACCCCCGCCCCGCACCGGGGGCCAGGATGCCCAGCAGAGCCCCAGCAGCCAGACCGTCTTCATAGGATGCCCAGCTCCCCACGGGCACTGCGGACCCATAGTGACTGGGCCAGGATGCCCCATTCTCCTGTGGATGCAGCCCCACACATGCTAAGCCTGGCTGCTGCCTCCTGCTCCTCCCCAGGTCCCTCCCCCTACCCCTTCCCCCTGCCTCCTCCCTCTCCCCAGGGCCCCTCACCCCTGCCTCCTGCCTCCTCACCCAGACCCCTTCACACTGGTGTCCCTGCCCCTCACACCTGCCCCCTGTCCCTTTACCCAGGGCTCCTCCCCACTGCCTCCTGCTCCCTCATCCCTGCCTCCTGCTCCCTTGGCCAGGGCCCTTCACACCTGCCTCCCTGCCTCAGTGTCCCCAGCAGTGCTGGGGTCAGGCAGGGGCCTGCTGTGCCCTCCCCCAGGGCATCTCCAAAGAGGTGAGGCCGTGAGGCTGCAGCATCTGTTTATTGAATAGAAAGAGGCGTCCCATGAGGCATCCCATGGGGTCGGGGGGTGGGGGTGGAGGACAGAGAGGCCCCAGGTGGTCCCCGAGGGCTGCGGCTCCGGCTCCTCCTGCACAGCAAGCCCACAGTCACTCCATTGCACACTCCCGAGACAAACGCCCTTCCTGCTCCTCACAAGCTGCCCATCAGCCCTCCAGGGCCACCACCCAACAGGCTCAGTAGAGCCCATTCTGCTCCAGAAACTCCCACAAACCCTGGACACGCACACCAGCCACCACTGCTGCCCCAGAGGCCCCTGGGGAGAGGCTGTCCTGGCTCCAACGCTTCCCCACCTTCCCTGGGGGTGGGGGACCCAGCCCCATGCCCTAGTCCCTGGCTGACTGGCAGTGAGCCACAGCCTCTGCCAGGGCCTTGATGAAGGGGCCAGCTTGGCAAGAAAGCCCTGGAAAGGCCATGAAGCCACCACAGAACCCACAGCCTCTGGGGTCATCCAAGGTGGCCCAGGCCGGGAACTCTACCCCGAAAGCTGCTGCTTCAAGATCGTGAGGGGGTGGGGCCACACGTTCTCCCCAGAGAACTTTCTGGAGGAGGGCAATTTGGTGTTGATCCCGTGTTTCTCAGCCCGCCGGCGTGTGCAGGGAGACGCAGACCTGGGCAAAGCTGAACAGCCCCAGTGTCCCCAGGCGGGATGGCGAGTCGCCTGGATGAGGACCCCAGTGTCCCCTGGCGGGATGGCGAGTCCCCAGGTGAGCACCTTGGGAGAGGAGGCGACACTCATGGAGAGGAGCCAAGAGGCAGGAAATGCATGGCGGAAAAGCAGGAGAAGCGCCAAGGCCCAGAGCCCCCCAACACCACGGCCCCGCCCCCGGAGCCCCCCAACACCATGGCGCCGCCCCCGGAGCCCCCCAACACCGGCCCCGCCCCTGGAGCCCCCCAACACCACGGTTCCGCCCTGGAGCTCCCAACACCGGCCCCATCCCCGGAGCCCCCAACACCGCGGCCCCGCCCTGGAGCCCCCAACACCGCGGCCCCGCCCCAGAGTCCCCCAGCACCTCCTCCCACCACGCCAGGAAGGGCATGTCCCTCCAGACACTGGTGACTGTCACTTCGGACTTGTGACATGTGGTTGTGCCCAAAGTCGTGGCTGTGAGCCTGGGAGAGGGACCCAACAGTCTTCTGGTGTCTGGTTTAGGGGGAGGTCTCCCCAAGACCCCACCCGCATGTGGCTTCTGTCATTGGCACTGGGCACAAAGGCTGTGGTCTGCCCTCCTGGCCCTGGGGGAGGAGACGAGGCCCCCGCAATTCCAAAGCATGACGGTGCCCTGGGGAGGGAGCCAGAGGCTGTGTGGACACAGCGGGGACACAGAGCTGTGGATTGAATTGTGTCTTCAAAACTTCGGGCCCACCGGGAACCTCCAAACGTGGCCTTGTTTGGAAACGGTCTTTGCAGATACCGCCAGTTTAGACTCTGGAGACAAGGTCACCCTACATTACAGTGGGCCTTAAGTCCACGGACAGGCGACCTCACAAGGAGAGTGTCCTGTGGTGCTCGCTGCGGCAGCACAGACCTGGGGAGGGAGGTTTGGACGCTGTGATGGGGAGGGGAGAGGCGACCAGGGCCCGGCAGGGCCTGGAGAACCCACCTGGGAAGGGCCGGGCGGGGTCTGGAGGCGTCAGGGCTCCTCCTCGATCTCGGGGATGCACATGCCTGTGGGGAGGAAGACATCCGTGAGATGCTGACGGCCAGGACAGCCCTCGCTTCCCGCAGCCCCCGACCCCTGGTGCCAAGGCCGCTGGACAGCTCTGCCACCCCAGAGAGTGGAGCCTAGAGCCTCCCTCCCAGCGCTGCCCAAAGCCTCTCCCAGCGTCTGTGCTGCAGGGGCTGCCGGTGCTGAGGCAGGGAGGAAGGGTGGGCTGACGGGAGGCAGGGCTGGCTGGGGGACGTGGGGTGGGGCAGGCTTGCCAGGGTACCTGACTTGGGCAGCATGAGCACCGTGTCATCCAGAAGCCCCAGCATCGGGTAGAAGTCCTGGAAGGCCTTCGGAGCCTGTGGACTCACGTCCCGGGTCCGGCCTGGGCAGAGCAGGGTCACCATGAACCCAGCAGCAAAAGGGGCGGCAACAGGGTATCTCCTGGCCTCGCTCCGCCTCCC